TGCAATGCAATGCTTAATGTCGTTAAAGTTTCAAACACTTTTTTATACCTTCATTGCGAATCAAATGAAAGGTGCACTCAACTCAACTGTTCACGACAACCACAACACAAAATCAATGATTATTTCACGTGATGCTCCTAAAACATACATATGACTTGAGAAGCGGATGTTACTATGCTAAATTAGTGACGCTTTTGCTAATCTTAGCGCAAATTTTTCATTCTCAACAGCTTCACTCAAACTTTCAGCGGTTAGAACAATGAACAGTCCGATGGGATTATGACAATGATGAGATCAGACCCATCGTTAAAAATAAGAACTTATGAAACGTTTAATTGAAAATGTGATTATTTGTAAACAAGAAGTGACGAAAACAGAACGTTGCAACACAACTACAAGAATGCATTTGATTAACGGACAGTTATCAGCTGTTGGACTGAATAAAATATGGATAACAACTACAGAACAACAAAAAGGGCAAACGCACTATTCCAAGCATTCAAACAAATCATGAAATGAGACCGTATTCGAGAACAACTTTTATGTGATGATGAATCACTCAATAACAATAAGATGATAATGTCAATAATCACATCAATAAGAATAACGCTAAAAATAAATCAAATAATCAAANCATGTATCGTTCAAAATATAGCAATACCGTTTGTTTTCCACAGTTCGATCAAATGAACAAAATTCGTTTCATAAAAATGCCACAATTAAAATAACATTCTAACAATTCACATGGTAATATCTTCAAAATAAATGAATAAATAAATCAGTAATATGAATACAAGTTGATAATGAATGTGTACTGAACGAAACGAACGACGCTTAAATTACGGTAATTTCTTACGCATAATATATGGTGAATCAGCCAATTAAACGAAATAGGTCAACAATTAATAATAATAATAACAATAACAACAACAAAAACGATATCAAGACAATAAAACAAAGCAACATAATCGCAAAAGATCCAATGTAGCGCGCTTTGTTTGATGTTGAAGGTGATACCAGAGAACTATGAAATAGTCTGTAAGGTAGGATACCGATAGTGTGATACGATTTCATCTCGAAACGAATACTCGATAAAGTCTCATCAGTAATGACTTATAGTAAACACAGATGAGCGAGGTTTTAGAATGTTTCATCATGATGGCAATAATAAAGGGAATACGGTGGATGTTATACAATCATGTCTGGATGCTGATAATGAAGAGGTATTTTGGTGCGTGGGCATCATTCGTTCACCACGCAGCCTTAACTGACGACGATCCACCCCAATGACGACTGTAGCCACCTCCAGACTGACGTCCCTCATATTCGTCGTTGTAGTACTGCAAACTCAATCTAGTTGTTTCACCTATATCTCCAGTCTGTTTAACTAATGAGAGTTTAAATACCAATCGAGATATGCAATTCAACTACCTAAGCTAATTTGAATGACCAATTTACTGTAATAAGCCGTTTTACATGGCTTAATAATCAACGACAGGATTACTCAGTCAGTGAATCGACGATTTACTGTTCATAAAATCAGTTGCACAGAACACCTTCAGAGATTACAAAATTTTATCCTCGAATTTCAATATGACAATTGCTCAAATAAAACCGTTCCTCACAATCATGGAATAACAACCNTACCTGTTGTCCACTACCGTATCCTATGCTGCTGTAACCGTAATCGTCATCTGAAATCGTTTTATTTAAACAATCAATCGAACAAAGTGAAGATGATTAACAAAAAATTCAAGCGCGTTTCGTCATGGATACTTTACAAATAATTTCACTGACCGAAAAGCCATAAATTCTTCTAATCATACTTCCATCGAAATCGACTGACTATATCTCCCATCAAAATTCGTTCAACTAAATATAAGTGACCAACTAATAACTGAGAAGCTCGTTACTCGACAAAGATGAAGTTCCCATAAACAAGTGATGAAGAGCGAAACCGAATCAAATGCGATATTAATAGAAATCAACCTTCGAATGATGTGTAACCAGATGACCGTGTTAATGGAGACGGTCCAGCCCCTCCAGCCCCCAATCCGCCTCCAAACCGCCCACCTCCATACGAAGCGCCTACTGCACCACCTGTACCTCCAATTCGACGATACGTTACGTATCGCTGTGGTGGGGGGACGTTAGCTCCAGAGAACAATTCGATATACCTTTAAAGTTCATACTATTTATTATGAATNATTTGTAAGATGAATCAATCGGTGAATAATATATCAGAAGCTCATTAACAACGACTAATGCTAACGGAATACCCACAGATCAGATTCATGAGTACACTTCTCTTCCTAATCACTCGAATTCATGACGGAAACAACCAGTCGAACTGGAAATCCGTACTAACCTCGCAAATAAACCTTCGTCGAAAGTTCGTCATCGAATTCTGGATCATCACCGTACGCCCCGGCTCCATAACCACCAGCAGCACTACTGCTACCATATCGTGAATATCGATCATATGGCAACTCGTATGGACTTGGACGACCCCGACTCACTGGTCCTCGCATTGGACCACCCGCACCATAGCCACCATATCTAAAATATTCAACCATTATACAAGCATGTGTTCCCATTTCTTTCCTTCTTCTTCGGTCCGTATGAAAGAAACTCATCCAAAATGCTACTCCACTTGGCTGCTGATTCTTGACGTGAAGATAAGCGAACGCACAAAAAAAAATTGTTCCAACCTCTCTCTGTAGCCACCACCACCACCACCACCACCTGCAGTCATCAGGCCGCGTAACGGTATTGGTTCACCCTTCGGTGGCGGGAATATGCCTCCTCGACCAGCCGTTGCGTTATAATGCGCATTGTCCATCTCATCAATCGAGCTGCGGAACACCTCCACATATCTTAATAAACACAATAAATTTATTCATCCGTTACAAGCAAATCTGATGCGATTCAACAACGTCCAATCCATTCGTTCCACTTCTCTATCCGCAAGACACACTCTTAACAAAGACATGAAGGCAACTGCAAATATCATTAAATGTGATGAAATTTTAGAAAATACGAAAAGTCTNAAGTTGAAGAGTTCAAGCTGTTGATGTTGAGATTATCGGGCACTGTGAAGATGGACTTAGCTGATGAAGCGAGTCTGATATGATGCATCATCATATCTCATCGTTGTGTTTACCGTTATTGTGTTCAGATAAGTTAATCAAGAGGCAAACTTAACGGTAACAAAACAAGTTATCACTTCAACCAAGTATAATATCATACATCAACTGCAAATTATTCAGTGCCTATCATCGAGCGCAAAAAATCCTCAATTAACTCAGAAATGCACTAAAATTCAAACGCAAAAATTCAGTTATGCACTAAAAGATCTCATCTTATCCCGTATCATCATCATACATTTTTACACCACATACCTCGTGCCCATGTTCTTTCTGTTTCGCTCGAGTGCCATCTCGGCGTGCTGCTTGCTGGCCAAACGTACGAAAGCCTCCCCAGAAGGGCGTCCCCCCGGCTCCTTGTCGATTACCACGTCAGCCACTTCCAAGCCTATATCCCAACAATAAAACCACCTGTGCACCAATTAAAACCACCACCTCCGGCGGGACTGGATTGATAGACTGGTTAGCAGCCACCTCCCAGCTACCACAAATATGAAACAGCATATCAAATAATTTTCTCCAGTTAACACCACCAACCTGCCACAGTTACGTAACGCTTAGCCATATGATAATAAATGCACAAAAAAACTGCCGCTCAATTGTGAAAATCAAAAATTATAAATATTATCACCCTACCGCGGTAGTATCAACTTAACCATATTACACTACCACATTACGCTACCTAAGCCACTACAAAAAAAAA